AGGGTTGGCTGATGTCTAAAGTAAAGGGTGAGCTGGGAGATTAGCACTCACAAGCAGGCACAGCTTAATGTGCACCTTTTTCTTTAAGAACAACATCTGCTTTTAAGTAGGTTATGCTTACTGTGGCTTGTTTGCATCCTTCTTTGCTTAGAAAGCAAACTCTTTCTTCAAAGCTAAGCTTCCTCCCAGGCCTACGGGATTAGCACATACTCCAGATTAATGCGGTCCAAATTAATGCGATTTATTGTCATGGCTTTCAAAGCTGTGGTCTACTTATACAGCTATTTTTTTTTTCTGAGCCCAGATTTAGGACACTTGGACCAACAAAAGATACTTTCTCAGCTGTGTGTTTAAATGTGAAATATCTTGCAAAGTTATGGAAAGCACAGTCCATTGAATAGATATGAATAAGGGAGATAGAATGAAACAATATGAGGTCAGGACATCTTGGGACGAGTAGTCACCATGTTGATCTCGGTTATGAAACAGGAATGGTCCAGCATCTTCAGCTAGACGATGCTTGAGCCTCTCCCGACGGCTGAGTGCTCCCCAGGCTTCAGGAACGCGAGACAACAGATTCTATGCACTTTTCCAATGTGGCTGGCGGCACTGTGCTTGCAACCACGTATGTGCCACACAGACAGTGTTTCTGAGACCCAGATAAGAAGTAGCTGATGGATCCCAAACCCACTATCTCTTTTGAGGCGTGTTTAACAGGAGCTGGTTGAAAACCCCATGCCTGGGTCATATTTGGACGTTTCTTCATCACCGTGAAGTCTGTGGGGGAAATGATGCCCACGAAAAGCCCACTGAGGACTGAGGGATTTTCAGATTCATCTTCCACTGTTTCTTGGCTCAGCTGGCATCAGGAAGGGGCCGCTCCACAAGAGGCGCCTGTACCTCCCCTCACTGCCCTGCTAGGAAACTAAGTCCTCCCAGAGCACCATTTACCTCTAAACGGTTATGCAATTACATTTGTGAATGTAATCCCATAGGGCATTATTCTAATTACAGCCCGCAATCCCTTTCAGCAGCTTTCAGAGAAATAATTTGTGCAATGAAATGGGGCTCTTCAGCCTGCAAGAATGCCCGGAATTCCCAGGCACACGCATCAGCCTCCTGGAATCCACGCGCCCTTGCTCTTTCTCAGGAAGGGCATCAAAGGGTCCAGTGTACGGGGAGCTGTTCCCCAGGGAAGGCACCCAAACAACCGCGCAGGTCTCCTTTTTGTCCCGGCCCTTTGCTCAGCTCCTCCTTGCTCATTATGCATTCTGCACAAGTTGTTTCCATGAATTTTATGGTGGGTAAATTACACTCAATAAAAACTGTTAAATAACTAGTTACTGAGTTAATTATCATCAAATACGGAAATGTGTGTACCATACTGATCATCATTGCTGTGAGCCCAGGCCAGATCGCGTGAAATGAGACTGACCTGAGGACGCCTGAAAGTGGACACTGAATGAGCCTTAGGATTTGATGGGCAGAGGTGTCCGAAGTAACCGCAGTAGCTTTTGTCCATAATGAGCTAAGTTGTTTCCCTCCTTCCCTCTTTCCTTTCCTCCTTCTGTCCCTCTGTGTCCTTCTCTTCCTCCTCTCCTTCCTCGTTACCTCCTTTTTTTTTTTGTGGCCTTGTTTATTGCTAGAGGTGGAATCTTTTCAGTTGTGCCAAAGTTTTACAGAGTTTATTCTTTGATATGTACTTACTTTAGGCTTAACACAATAGTAGGCTTCCTGGCAAGCCCCCATGTTTGGCATCTGCCCTTGGCAGTTCGTAAGAGGAGCCTCTGTTGCGGGCACTGAAGCCCCAAGAGGAGATGCATGGTCTTTAATCTTGGGACTTATGGTCACAGGTGCAGGGGAGCCGGCTTGTTCTGCCTTCCTGGGGGCAGGGCTGGTGCTGGGGGTGGGGGCGCCCTCCCAGGGGGGCAGCGTTAACTTGGTGAGGTTCTTCGCTGATCTCACGCCTGCAGCATACTGTGTTCTCCCAAAGTCACCCATTTTGGACTTTCTGTAGAACCTGATTCAGAATTTATGCCCTCATTATAGCCTTTTCTGCTCATAGGCATTTTTGTTTAAAAAAACCTTTAATATTTAAACATTAATTACTAGCATGAGTTCACTTTAACATTATCATCATCATCAGTTCTCTTTTTCAGTTAATCTGTGTTGGTTACAAAGAACCATGTATGTATGTATGGTGTTTTTGTGGGTTTTTTTTCAACACTTTTATTGTGGTATCATTCCTGTACAGAAAAGTACACATATTTCAGATGTTCAATTTAATGACTTTTGATAGATATATACACCAATGAAACCAGTACCACAATCAAGATAGTTAACATTTCCATCACTCCCCAAACGGTGCAAATTTTGAATTCCCAATTTATCCCTTCCCACCCTCTTTACCCTCTGGTAACCATAAGTTTGTTCTCTGTGTCTGTGAGTCTATTTCTGTTTCGTAGATAAGTTCATTTGTGTCCTTTTTTTTTAGATTCTACATATAAGCAATATCATATGGCATTTTTCTTTCTTTTTCGTGTGGCATTTTAGTTTTTGAATCTGATAGCTGGAGTTAAAATGTGGGAGAGAGAAAGTGTGAGCGAGAAAAGAACTGGATCTGGGTTGTTCTGAGTGTGAGTCGATGACCTTCATTCACAAGGTCTGGTCCTCACGTTGAAGGGCTGCATCCATTTAATATTTTACAAAGAAGGGTTTTTTTGTGTGTGTGTTGGAGGGTAACTAGGTTTATTTATTTTTGGAGGAGGTACTGGGGATTGAACCCAGGACCTCAGCATGCTAAGCATGCAGCTCTACCACTTAAGCTATATACCTCCCCGCTTACAGAGGGGGTTTTTAATCTAAGGAAATATCTCACAATGTGTATTTCAACAGATTCTATTAGTAAAATGGTCTACAAAATACTCTTAAGCATCCGTAGTGTTTTATTTTATGCAAACTGTCCATGTTGACATGATGTGGGAACCTGGATGTCCCTCCTTCACAGGACAGAAGCCTGCTTACTGATGCCTCTTCCTTCCTCTGACTTTCTTATGCTACATTTTATCTATTTTTTTCCCAGTGCACAGAATTGAATGCTCAGTTCATTTACTTTTATTCTTGTTTAGTGATGAAATCAACCCAAGGCTATTAATTTTCCTCTGAGACTACTTTTGGATGGCTCCCATAGCTTGGGACATAGTGATATGAACCTCATTGCTGTTCTTTTCCAAGTAGTGTGCAGAATCTATTTAATCCAAGAGTTCTGTGGGAGAATTTTTTAAAGAATTATAGTCAGTTTACAATGTTCTGTCAGTTTCTGGTGTACAGCATAATAGTTCAGTCATACATGTGCATATATATTCATTTTGATATTCTTTTTCATTATAGGTTACTACAAGATATTGATTATAGTTTCCTGTGCTATACGGTATAAACTTGTTATTTATTTATTTTATATATAGCAGTTAGTATTTGCAAATCTTAAACCCCCAATTTATCCCTTTCCATCCCCTCCCCTACTGGTCACCGTAAGTTTGTTTTCTATGTCTATGAGTCTGTTTCTGTTTGGTAAATAAGTTCATTTGTCTTTTTTTTTTTCCCAGATTCCACATGTAAGTGATATCATATGGCATTTTTCTTTCTCTTTCTGGCTTACTTCATTTAGAATGACAGTCTCCATATCCATCCACATTGCTGCAAATGGATTATTTTATTCTTTTTTATGGGCTGAGTAGTATTCCATTGTATAAATATATTACAACTTCTTTATCCAGTCATCTGTCGATGGACATTTAGGTTGTTTCCATGTCTTGGCTATTGTAAATAGTGCTGCTATGAACATTGGGGTGCATGTATCTTTTTGAATTACAGTTCCCTCTGGATATTGTGGGAGAACTTTAAATTAAAAAAAAAATTAAAAGCCCAAAGGATTAGGTTTTAAAAATTACACATTTATTATTCATTTCCAGTTTTACTGTATTGTTCATCCTTTCTTCCTTGCAGTCCTTTGTGGGAAAAGAGCTCAGGAGTCAGATGACCCAGATTTGAGTCCTGGCTCCAGCTGCCTTTCTACCATGGCCATTTGTGCAGTGAGAACATGAGCACAGAGAGAGCTGCAGGGAGGATCCGGTGAGAGAAGGGGGAGGGGAGAATGTCCTCCCTCTCCCCTCATTTGAATGGTCCCCCATCCCATGCCTCCCTGGGGCTGCTCCTTTTATCCTGCTAGATGAGAGACACCACTGGAGGTGAAGTGATGCAGGCCTCCT